GCTCCTTTAACATGTATACCGGGTAAAACTGGTCGTTCTTCTTCAATATATTCAGGTGTTTTTTCACTTGTTTCAGAACGTGTATCTGATTCATCACCACCACCACTACTTGCCGTGTGTTGTTTATCAATAGATGACATTGATTCATTAATTGTTCGATTACTTAATGATGTATTTTGTATATGAACTTTTTTTCGTACATGATGATGATCACTCGGTTCAATTTCAAATGTCACCGGACTATCTTCATCTAAATCTTGTATATTTGATATAGCTTGTGAACGTTTTATTGTTGTTGTTGACAATTGTTTTGAATCAATATCAACACCACTCGTACGTGTTTTTATTCGATGATCGACGACTATAGCTGAACGTGGTATTAATGGTGGTGGAGGAGGAGGAGGGGGCGGCAGTGGTAGAGGTGGTGGTGGTAACGATGGTAGTGGTGATGATGGCAATAAAAGTTCATCGGATGATAGTGTCACCGGTTGTTGTGGATTGGTAGTAGTAGTGCTCATCATTTATTATTTATCGATATGAGCTTTAAAGAAAAAAAAAAACAACATTAAATAAACCTCCCATGAGATAATCATTGACAAAATGAAATTTCAGCTGATGTTTATTATGTATTTCGCTATGAAAATAATGATGACACATAACATTGTTTTTTGTCCTTTCTTCTGAACTATGACATTCCAAACGCATGAAAAAAAACGAGAAGAAGAATAAGAAGAAAGAATTACTTTATGTATGTGTCAACGGCATACATCCTACTTTCTTACTCTCTCTCTCTCTCTCTCTCTATGTCACTTATTTAACGAGAAAGAAAACCATTTTGTCTTAAATTGCATTTGACCAACGAGAAAAGGAAAAAGAAAGAGTTTTTTTTTGTAATAAAATCTTTTATGAGCACGTGCACATGGAGGTATGAAGGTGGAAAATATTTCTTTAATGGCACTTACCATATGTTATTAGTCAAATACACCGCTACATATCGTAGTGGTGTCAATGAACGATAATGATCAATCATCCAATCGGCAGACCAATGATGCATATTCGAAGTTGTAACACGTTGTATATTCAACATAGTATAACATATAAATATAAACTGAAGAAAAAAAACCAAAGAGAGTAGCGTTAATAATGCTCGCTGATGATGATGATGATGATGATGATCTAGAAATGTTGTGGGCGAACATACGCGAAAGAAGAAGAAAAAAAAGAAAAGAAAAAAAAAGATTCCTGTTGCAATAGCAAGCAACAACTAGCTCACTGAATGGGTGGGATCTTCGACGCGCTCGCTCGGTTGCTGTCAAAGAACAAATGCAAAAAAGAAACGCGCGGCGGATAATGGTAGTAGACCAAAGAATTGGAATGGCTAAAAATAGCGAAAAAGTACGCGTGCATATAGCATCGTCTTCTGTTTTTTTTTCTTAGCCGTGTGCGCGTATTCTAGAAACAGTAATGTTCTTTAGCTTTTCTTGTTTCGTCGACAACAACGACGACGACGACGATTGTTATTGAACAGAAATGCATGTTTATACTACTGAAAGAAATGGATAGATAGAGCACATACGTTCGGCGTGAACGATGAGGGTGATCGAGAGAAAAGTGTATGTGTGTGTGTGTGTGTTAGAGAGAAAAAAAAAGAAGTAAAGACTGTCTCATCATTCTACACATCCAGGGTTTGCATGCTTTTGTTGATGAGTAACAGAGCACGACGCAATAAAAGAAAAAGATTTTGGAATAGAAGAACATGAAATAAGCAAAGTTAGATATGGTGTGCGACAGTTGCATGTCTAGGTCTCATTCGAATAGATAGATAAATAGAATAAATAAATGAATGAATGAATCAATAGATATTCCCGATGTGTTTTTGTCATAGGCGACCTTGGAATAGATCTTAACGAGTACGATACTCACACTATGTCACTACCAATAATAACAGCATTACGATACATTTTTTTCTCTCTCTCCTTTATCTTAGGTTTTTTTTTTTCCTCTCTATCTTTTGACATGTGCGCAAAATACTACTATAGCTTAGAAGTAGACGTAGTCGTGTAAGAGATTGTTGCAATGGCGAAAAAGAGGATACACAATGACAAAAAAAAAACGAGCGAAGGCAAACTCGTTCTCTTCTCCTTTTTTTTTCCTGCTATACTACAACTACAACGACTACTGCCTGTCTGTCATTCTATTATTTCTTTCCCTTTTTTTTCCGCTCTTACGAGCCTTACAAGCTTTGTAATGTGTGCGTGTGAACACACAGAAATATAAGCGTTTTTTTTCAACTAAACTGAGCTGCTCAATGACGAAAGAACACACATATTGTGTGCCAATCATATACGCATATAGCATTGAAGATTTGTGTCGTTGGCCACTTGAACACACAAACAGACGAATGCTGTCAAATGACCCGATATGAATATATATATATATCAGTGAGGACAAAAAATCCAAGAAAAAAGATGAGTATAAAGGAGAAAAAAAAGCAAAGAGAAATAGAGAGAAAATATTGAAAACATCTCTCTTAATAGGAAATAAGTATAATAAAAAGAAAACTAAATCATAGCTATTGCTAACATATATAAGAATATTTATTTAAGGAAAATTTTTATCTTAATATTTATCCTTCAACAACTTTAAACGACATTAAACATTGATTGTCTGTTGGTTTTTTTTTCTAATGTCATGCAAACTATTATTTGAATAGCAATAACAACAAGAGATTGGTATGAACTTTCTAATTTCCGACACCTATGATCTATAACCAAATAGAACATATAGACACCTACACATAGAAGAAGAAAAAAAAGAAAATATCTAATTACTATTTTATAATAAATGTTAAAAATTCTATTTAGTGATAAAAATTTTCTTAAGATTGAATAAGATATAATTAATATAGTTCAAAGAAAAAAAATCTCGTTTTTCTGTTCTATAGATATTTATTTGACTTAAATAATAACACATCAAGTATTTTAGGTGATAAGAAATGGATTTCATACGTGTGCATATATTTTTTATATTATAAAAGAAATAATAATATTGATCTTTGCAATGACGATATTCATTCTCTCTCTCGGGGCATGTGAATAAGGAGCAATTGAATCATACAGATTAGACTCAATTTGTATTATTTCGCAACTTCAAATAAAATTATGTTTAGAGAATGTTAAATATTTTAAAAACAAAACAAAAAATGAGAATATACTTTGAAAATTAACCATTTTAATTTACAAATAATTTTTTCACACATGTTCATGCCGATCAACAATTAAAACAATTGTAAGTCTTACATTTGAGCACTTGAAACTACTTTCAGTAATCTAATATTGCTGTTGCATCGTCTAGCTTAAAATAGAACAATGTGCTAGACGTCCTATGACATAATACCAATTGGATCACGTACTTCAGCTTTAATTAGAAAGAAATTATACTATAAATACCATAGCCAGAGGCCGTTGGGTCACATTACAACGTACTGACGTTGATTCCACTGACTATGCATCTTATATAATGTCAATTAGCACAAACAGAATACTTGGCATCTGATGATATGTCTTTTAGACTGAAGTGCCTTTTAGCCAGAAAAATCTGTTTTTTACTATATTGTGTCTCTACACACATATAAAAATCTATCTGCTAAAAATAATTTCGTTTGAAAATTATTGTACATATAATACTAAGCCTATACGATTAAATATATCATCAACGAATGATAATAATTGTTTATTTATATATTATATTAGTATAAGAAAGCTAAAGATGTGAGAGCAAATTTTGTTAGATTTAAACTTGAATGATAGAAAGACGGTCTCTCTTCTTTCACATAAAATATGTTAAATGGTGAGTCTGTATGAACAATCGTTAATGTTTCTTTACCTCGTTTTTTTTCAAGTATGAAATATTATAAATTTTCAAATTACCAGCTAATTCGGCTTTTTTTCTTGTTGTTCACATAACGGCGTACCACGTAATTACATTAATGGAAATACATGAATTACTTGAAACTTATTTTGATGACAATAAACAATTGATTTACGAAATTATTCTACTATTTCGATTGTTTTCTCATGAATTTTATTCAATATTTGATCATTTCTAAACGTGTTTGTAAAGAAACTTTTTCACAATATTGGTTTTGAATGAAGTGATAGAGAACAGATGTATAATATGGACCTGAATTAAATGTTGAATTAATTAAACTGAGGTCACAAACTTTTGGATTTCGTTAACTGTTCGTGTGATATTAAATGACGTTGTTTCATATTCAGTGATTTACGATGTTGACAAAAACTACACATAAAAAAGGACATCCAAATCGTGTTTCGAAATGAATAAAATTCTGATTTGGAATTAAATTATTTAAAAATAGTGATGGTGAATACTTGAAATTTGTTTTAGTTGATTGAACTGTATCCAACTTTTCTGCATAATTGATACCTTCTACTACAGCATATCGATTTGTCGATTGTTGTTACATATATTCGAAAACTGCAGTTTCTCCTTAGTCACGAATAAATACATCGACTTGTGGATAATATTTTTCATGAGGGTGTGTGTGGGTGATATACACCTACACCCACATCCACACTTATACCTAGATCCATACCGAAGTACTGAAACCATCCTATTAGATCACAATTTTCGATCGTCAAAACAAAAAGTATTTTTGTTGAAATAGTTGCTCACATACATGTGGTTTATTATATGGTACGGTTATTTTCCAACTTGACGAAGTGACAGAACAGAAGAGTTCTTGAGTGATTTGTTTTTGTGAGTAAACATGCGACATTTGAAACGAAGATTACCTGAGTAAAAAGGAGTGTACATTAAAAATTGTTTTTTTTCGAGAGAAAAATAAAGTAACTACATTCTAGAAAAATCCGACTGCGTCATTCATTCTCATCTCCGACAACATCTATATAAAAAACGTTGCAAGAAGCTTCACGTACAGTAAATTTTGTTTGTGTGAATTAGAAATACTTCTCACAAGGATGAAATTTTCAAGTTTAATTTTAGTATTTTTCTACTATATTATAGTTTTAGTGTAAGTATTCAATATTATATTTAGAATATTAAATTCATTCTCATCTTTCTCTCTGATAGGAATATTTCCGAACAACAACAATTACCCAGTAATGAATTTAGAACTATTTTCATTCTTTTCTCTTGTTCTTCTCTTAGATAGCACAACGGTTTCAATATGTAATTTCACGGCATGTAACTCTCAACAGACACTATGTTCATCCAATCGTGATTGCGAATGTTTTTCGTTGACGATAAAGCCAAGTGTAGGAATTTGTGCTTTAGCCGTGTTGCGTTGTACCGATGTTGTCCGATGCAATACAGATAATCGAACATGTCCGATTGAAAATACAGTTTGTGTGAACAGTACACGTTGTAGTCAACCAGTCTGTTATCCACTAGCATTAGCAAATAAACTTGTTTGTCCAGGTAATACAGCAGTTAAACGATTGTGAGATGCTGAAGATGATTTTTTTCGTTTTTCTTCTTTGAATAGCTGCGACAACGACAACAACAGTACGAACCACCACAACAACAGCACGAACCATAACAACGAGTATGTATTTTTGTTTTTTAAAGTTGAGCACGATTGAAACCGCTAACATTCGATGGATTTACATTTCTTACTTACATCTCTTTTATAGCACATACAGGAGGCCTTACAAATACAACACCATCTGCAACAGGAGGTAAGTAAGGGTTTGGTGTGTTCCTCGTTATACCAAGGTTTACATGCATGTGGAATTCAAAGGTTCTATTCGAGTTTTTGACCTATCGATTCTTTCACTAGTCACAGTGAGAGGGTAAGAGGGTGTGGGTGAGGGGTTAGGGATCTTATCACCTCCTCCTTTTCAAGGAAGTCCCTCTCACTCACACTCTTGCCTCCCTTATTGTAATTAGTCGAATAGTAGAAAACTCTAAAATTCGAATTACGCACTATTCACAATTCGAAAGATATGTTGTAAGGTTTTAAAATTCGATTCAAATTAAGTATACCTTCCTTCCTCTTTTCGTGGGTGTTGGTATGGTTGACAGATAAATACTTTCTTCATACCAAAACACACATCCACACTCTCAAACCAGTGTAAGAAAAATAGTATTGGACACTTAAATAACTGTCACAAATAAATATCATATTTATTAAGATATTCCTGCGAGTAAAATGCTCTTCTATTATCAATTGTTTTTTTTCTTCTTTACATATGCATAAAATGACATGAAAAATTCGTATAATAGAGGAGCAACATGTCTGCATCAAAACGTTTTCTGTAACGTGAATAAAAATTTTTATCAAAAACGGCAAAATCATAGAATGATTATCCCTTACCCCAAATCATTTTTTAGATAATACTCCGTGTGGGGTAAATAAATTCTCAGACTCAAAACTTTTGAGTCAAAAGTGGTGACTAATTGGGAATTTTGATTTGGGGTTAATTTAATCTGGAGATTCTTCTGACATAATATATGTATATATGACATATCTTAATTCATTCTTATCTTGTGTACAGTGTCGTATCAAAATCAGAACAAAATTTCTCGAATCATAAAAATGTTTTGTAACACATCTGGTTACTAGATTTTAGTCACCAAAACGCATTTTGCATTGCTAATGATATATTTCTTATCATTTATAAATAACAGTTTATACAAAGCTATTTAAGTCGAGTATAGAAATGTAATACGTTTATCATCGACCAATTATAAGTTACTGACAATTTAACTGTGCTCTTTTTTCCGGGACCAATTTTGCGAGCCACAATTTAGAGTAAATGATAGTTATTTTTCGATCTCTTCGAAACAATGACAAGCCTTCTAACTCACTCCAGAAAATCTTAAATGATTATATTCTCAACAAGATGTCTATACCTGGCTTGGCAGACTATGCAAACTATTATTTACAAGTGATAAGAAATATATCATTAGCAATGCAAAATGCGTTTTGGTGACTAAAATCTAGTAACCAGATGTGTTACAAAACATTTTATGATTCGAGAAATTTTGTTCTGATTTTGATACGACACTGTACACAAGATAAGAATGAATTAAGATATGTCATATATACATATATTATGTCAGAAGAATCTCCAGATTAAATAAACCCCAAATCAAAATTCCCAATTAGTCACCGCTTTTGACTCAAAAGTTTTGAGTCTGATAATTTATTTACCTCACACGGAGTATTATCTAAAAAATGATTTTGGGGACCAGATTTGGGGTAAAGGATAATTTACCAAATCATAAGTATTTTTAGGGTATTTAAATCAGTTAGTTCTGACTGATCTCTCTTAATTTTCTTCATTTCAGCCGAATTTTAGTTATTCTGTAATAGTGAAGATAACGGCAAATGCTATCGAATAATTTTATCTGACTTTGATTATTAAGATCTAGTTGTTTCGCTTTTGAGCTCGTGACAGATAGTTCCATTTGAATCAAAATTCTCGAACGACAACATTATTTCTTTTCTTTCACACATTTGTGAATAGTGCATTTCAGATTTATAGCCGATAGTGATTGGCTTTTAGCATTGTTGTCCATATGATATTTATCTATTAATACTTTTCTTAAAGTTTAGGCTTTTGTAGTACTGTTTGTTGTAATGGTGGTAATGTTAATGGTACTACTTGTCTTTATGATCGAAGTAATGGTACTTGTTTTATTACTGGTGCTGATGCTGGTTATTTCATTCGTGGTGATGGTGGTTCTCTCGATAATAATATTGCTTATCAACCTTGTCCTTGAGACAGAATATAGTTTGGCCTGATTTTTCGCGCACCAACAGCAACAATTGCACATAAAATCAATCAGAAAGATTTATATTATGACTTTTTTTTGCGAAAATGAACATTATTCACAATTTGATTTTTTTAAAATAATCTGTGTGTGAGCAACTTTTTTTTTGTTCTCCTATTTTTCTACTAACTATCAAGGAATGACTTTTTTTATTCGCTACCATCCATTCTACTATATCCTTTTATTTCATTCAATTTTTATTCTAATTAGAAACTTAAATAAAAACTTAAATTCATAAGTTAATATATAATTGAATTACTTGCATAAGATGAACATAAGATGATTCAAAAATGGTGATAAAGGAAGAAATTAATAATAAGAGTCTGTGATGCTTCGACAGTGGGAATTGTCCTTATCGAACGTTGTACAAAGTTTGTTATTAACTTTTTTTTACCTTTTTTTTATCCAAATACGGTGTTAAAGATATGATCATAGGATAGCAGGATGATGCTACCTGTAAGAGAGATATACAGATTGTCTTCTTACTCGATCCCATCATAACCGTCTTGCACTTTCATGATAATTACACTTTCTCCGTACAGTTGTAATATACGTTTTTATGTTTATAGATGACTCATAAAATAAATCGATTCTTCAATATATCGTCTTTTCGAGTCATTGTCATTGTCATTGATAAACACTTCAGTTAAGTCCATTCATAGTTCTCAGAACAAAAAGTTATAAATGGAATGTTTCTGTCTAAACTCAGAAAAATTGAGACGTTTGTTTTGCATTAGTTTGAAAAATATAGGAAGACAGTTATTTTTCATTTCACTACATTAATGGTCTTTCATTTTATTAAAATAGATTTGTTTAATTAGCATTTACTTAATCACATACAGCTCAACGAAAATCAAAAATTGATAATAGTTATGTTGTTTCGACCAATATCTTCGTAGAAGGGGCTTTTTTCAATAGTAACTCGATTTCATTGTTTATGACTAAATGAAACTCAGTTTAGGATGTAAAAAATCTCATGTGAGAAAACAATTTCTTAGGGTGTGAGTGTGGGTGTGGGTAAATGACGTATATAGTATTCATAACTACACACCACATCCATGCCCAAGATGATCTTCTAAAGTACCAGAACATCGGGAGGAATCAAATATATTTCTTCTTTTCAATTATTCATTAATTTCCCTATGATTGAATTCGTATAGAAAAGTCAGAACAATTATCACTCACAACTTTGCAAATGATTGTTAAACAAGACTTTATTTAATTTTTTTTAGAAGACATACACAGAAACAGATTATTGATCACTGAAGCAAAAGCAAAAAATCGAGTACATCGATAATATTGAGACATTTACGATCATTTGTACGAATGGAACGACATAGAACTATACAAAAATGGTTTTGGGTGAAGATAATGTTGAACATCTTTGTTCGATTCCAAACAGAAGAGCGAACGTATAATTGGTATGAAAGCCACTGACAAACATCATCGACCAGTAGCAATAGTCAATGGCCGAACTGCATTTCGATTGTAAGTTACAGTGCTAACTCTGTTCATTGGTCGCATCCGAATAAGATTCTTCATTTTGCTCATTAACTCTGGTTGTGAGCTAAGACATATCATTGGCAAAAAAAGTGGAATGAAATACGGAGCGAATTGCATTGTTTCAAATTGATTAATCATGAATGACGGCTGTATATTCATTTCAATAAGGATTGTACTTACTAATGGTAACCAAAGTCCCAAATGAAGTGATGACATTACCCATAGTTGTAATACCATTCTACGATGACGTCGCCAGTTCACTCCTTGTTGTCGAGACATCTTTTGATAGATCACTCGAATAACTAACGTTACATTGGCCAATATAATGGTTACAATGGGCAGGATAATATTGAAGAGAAAAAGAAACTGACTTAAAGCCTCGATTCCATAATAACATGGAAAACCACAAAGAAGTAGATTAAAATCCCATACATTCGTACACCATGGACTGATCACTATTACCATGAAGTAAAATACTGGTGGCCAAATCAAACAGAAAACTATAGGAATGAAATGAAAAATCCATCTTTTCCATCGCTTATCAAATACTTGATGTGCATGAAAAATGATTAAATGTCGTTCGACAGAGATCCATGCACTTAAAAATAATCCGGCAGCGTTCAGTGAATATTCACAATATATCCACCATACACAATATCCATTTGTTGCTGGCGAAACATAGCTCAAGTAATAATAATTCATTTCCATCGGCAGTTGCAGAGTCAATTGCAAAAAATTAACGATAAGCAGGATGATCCATCCATGATTTTTGAGTTGTGCACTAATAGGACGATTTAAAGCAAAGTAAACAAACAGGATAACTGATATAAAGATTGCTGGAATTTCCAAAGTAATCATGAGAATAAATCTACTTCTGAATTCCATGATGATTATAAAAAGTAATGAGCAAAGAAATAAGTATTCTACTAGATGCTCTTTTCTTATTGAAGATGAGAAAGAAAAATGTAGTGCACATACATTTTAAGTTTATTTATTAATATATATGTTTGAATGTCAGCGAAGCATTCTTCTGAATTCCAAAACATACACTTTCACTAATTATTATATTCATAATCACCTTTTTTTTCTATTTCCTCTCTAGTCATTTCTGATTTAAAATACTTTAATCTTGACAGCAAAGGGAAGACTTTACGTGTTATAAATAGCTAATCTTAATTTTTGAAGTTAACATTTTCATTTTCTATTTCTCTATGTTTGGTATCTGTCGTATATGAAATTGGCAGAAAAATCATACTTTCTTTCTTTGTTAGACAGCCTTATATTGTGGAGATGTAACTACTTCAAACTCTGATTACTGACGTTAATGAAATTCCTTCTAATTATATATTATTTACATTTCATTTCTTTGGTTGATATCGTTAAAAACAACATCAATGCACTATAGCATACAAACGAAGAAATGTATTCGAGAAAAATAAATTATTTTAGTAGAAAGAAAGATAAATTCTGAATAACAATAGTAATAATTGTAGAATTTTTGATCTTGTCCGATAGCATAACAGTCATTAACAATACCATCAATCAAAAAATGAATAACAACTTCTGATAATATATCAATTGAAGTGACATCATAAACTTTGATTTTTAATCATTTTAATGTAATCTTGATAATTAATATAAATTGATGAGATAAATTCCAAAAGACAGTAACAGATGAAGAGTATATAATCATGTATGTTGCTTAAAAAACTGAAGTAAGTATAACTGCTTGATATGTGATAAACTAAATTCGAAAATTCTAGAATTATTATTTATCAAATAAATGATGTTTATTTACAATGCATCAAAATTTATCTTTCTTTCTACTAATGCAAATAAGGATTATTGAGATCCATAATACCGTTTGTTGAACGAAGAATTTAATAAACAACAACATAAGAAGTATTTGTTCAGATGGACCTACCTCCTGATAAATTATGTATGCATTTTTGAATACCATTCTCTTTGTGCAAAACGTTGTCTTAAGCGATTAAAAAATGGTGCCGTTTAAGATTGGTTCCGACAAATAATGACAAATTATTTTGATAGAATTTTCTTTTCATGTAGCATCTCAATTAAAGGTGGGTGTGGGTATGGATACTGCGTTCACCTAGCACTCACATCCACGCCCTCAATGGATCAGTGTGCATTTATAAGTATGCACTATGCATGTGATATTTGTCACATAGCCACTTTTAACAGTAAGAATTTGAGTGGTAGAGAATAGGTGTGAACGAGGGCCTGAGCCACTAGACGAGAATGTCACACACACACACTCATGCTGAATCAACAAGGCTGAGAGTTCTGCAATATTATAGTTGTAGAGCAAGTGAAGCTCTATCGAATATATTAGGCCAACATATCGTGTAATTCGGCTTTTTGAAATAATGATAAGCTCTGTTTTTCATGACGTTAGTGAACACTCAATCATTATATGAAGCACATTTTTTTCGGAGTTCAAATCAAGTTTAGGTTGATTCGATGCGCCTTTTCATGAGGATTTTAGATATAATCTCAGGTTTCATTCTCGACGTTTTTTTGATAGAGAAAACTACCAGAAGTTATCGATCAAAATATTCGAAAACGCTTCAATTTCAACATTTCAATAATAAAAATACTTTGGGTCTATCTTCGTAAAAACGAAATGCTTAAAATCAAAAACTCCACAAACCCTAGAAACTTTATCGCAATCAAATGTCACTGTTGTACAGTCTGGTTGAGATACGGTAGAATTACTTATTAATATTCAACAGAAACGCTGCGTGTAAGAAAATACCATTTAGAAAGTAAAAATATTTAACCATCAGTCACTTTGAATTTTTTCGATGGAATTTTTGTTGTTCTGTTTGATCAAATACAAACCAACTAAATATATGCGAGTCGATTCTTCTCTTCCGTAGTTTCTTTAGTTTTTCTTATGTATTGCCAAACAGAGACGTAATGTTGATGCATCAATCCGTAGATTACAAATACCAAATCGCTCTTTTTTAATCAAAACAATCAGACTATTTATTTTGTTTCGATTAATATTATCAATATTCAGAAATTTCTAAAACCTATATTAAAATATTAGTTGCATTTTATGACAAATAATTATTTTATGTTGATAGTTTTATTCGACTTAACCGATGTTTCTTTTAAAATATATTTAATAAAACTATCCAATTTTGATGGACAACAAATCAGATATGAATATCACAAAATATCAATTATCGTCCCATGCATGTCGGTTAAAACAGAATATATTTAAAAAAAATGGCATGTTATTATTTTTTAAAAGATGAAAGAAATTTCTTGTTTGATGTAAATGTCCGTCGGAAAAAGATTACTTGGCTTTTTCCGAATATAAAAGCAAATCGATGCATTTATTTGCTTCTCTCTTTCGTTCTTTATTTGTTAATCACTGTGAAAACAATTTTTTCTCTCGTATTATGCCTGTTATCAACAAACTGTAAACAAAATATATCAGAAGTAAAAAAATTACATGAAATAGTGTTATAACTATATTTCATTAATCAACATGTGGGCTTGGATAAGTAAAAGCTAATATCCACACCGACCCCATATAACAGAAATAAATGTTAGTTGTTGTACAAAAATTGTCATTTGTTGGTCGTCAAAACAATGTCAGATGGAAAAAAAAAGAATAACTAATATTTGTTGTTTGGCTTTAACTGAAAAATCCAAGTTGAGCTTTACATAAATAGTAAATGAAAAAATGAGAAATGTTTCTTTCAAATCTTTGATTAAAGAAGATACTCGTTTTAACTTAAGAATTAGTTTGCTTCTTTTCACATGGTTTCCTCACAGATTCATATGTTTCGTACGTTGAAAAATTTCTTTTTTACAATTAATGTTTTTCATCAAACTCGGGAGTATTTTGAGTGTAATCGATTGTGATTCAGAAAGTTTAATACTGTTCTGAGTGGTTAGATATATTATAAGTACTTTTTGGCGCTTTATTTAATTTTTTTTAGGACACATGCACAGAAACAGACTATATTGATCACTAAAACAAAAACAAAAAATCGAATACATAGATAATATTGAGACATTTACGATCATTTGTACGAATGGAACGACATAGAACTATACAAACATGGTTTTGGGTGAAGTTAATGTTGAACATTATCGTTAGACTCCAAATAGAAGAGAGAATGCACAATAGATATGCAAGTCACTAATAAACGTCATTGAGCAGCAGGAATAGTCACCAGTCGTCCTACGTTTGAATTTTAAGTTACAGCGGTAACTCTGTTCATTCGTCGAATCCGAATAAGATTCTTCATTTTGCTTACTAATTCTGGTTGTGAGCTAAGACATATCATTGGCAAAAAAAGTGGAATGAAATACGGAGCGAATCGCATTGTTTCCAATTGATTAATCATAAATGACGGTTGTACAGTCGTTTCAATAAGTGTTGTACTTACTAATGGTAACCAAAGTCCTAAATGAAGTGATGACATTACCCATAGTTGTAATACCATTCTACGATGACGTCGCCAATTGACTCCTTGTTGTCGGGACATCTTTTGATAGATCACTCGAATAACTAACGTTATATTGGCCAGTATAATGGTTACAATGGGCAGGATAATATTGAAGAGAAAAGCAAATTCACTTAAAGCCGCGTCTTCATAATAACATGGAAAACCACATAGAAGTCGATTATAATCCCATACATTCGTGCACCATGGATTGATCACTACTACGATGAAGTAAAATAGTGGCGCCCAAAACAAACAGAAAATTATAGGAATGAAATGAAAAATCCATCTTTTCCATCGCTTATCAAATACTTGATGTGCATGAAAAATGATTAAATGTCGTTCGACAGAGATCCATGCATTTAAAAATAATCCAGCAGCATTCAGTGAGTATTCACAATATGTCCACCATACACAATATCCATTTGTTGCTGGTGAAACGTAGTTCAAATAATAAAAACTCATTGGCATCGGCAGTTGCAGAGTCAATTGCAAAAAATTAACGATAAGTAGGATGATCCATCCATGATTTTTGAGTTGTGCACTAACCGGACGATTCAAAGCAAAGTAAACAAATAGGATAACTGATACAGAGATTGCTGGAATCTCCAAAACAACCATGGGAATAAATCTACTTCTGAATTCCATGATGGTTATAAAAAGTAATGAGCAAAGAAATAAGTATTCTACTAGATGCTCTTTTCTTATTGAAGACGAGAAAGAAAAATGTAGTGCACATATATTTTAAGTTTAATTATTAATATATATATCTGAATGTCATCGAAGCATTCTTCTGAATTCCAAAACGTATGTTTTCACTAATTATTGTATAAATAATCATCTGTTTTTCTATTTCACCTTCAGTCATTCCTAACTTGAAATATTATAATCTTGCAGGAAACGGAACACTTTACGCATTACGAATAGCTAATCTTAATTTTTGAAGTTAATATTTTTATCTGCACTTCCTCTATGTTTGAGATCTGTCATTTGTGAAATTGGCAGGAAAATCATACTTTCTTTCTTTGCTAGACAGTCATATACTGTGGAGATTTAGCTTCTTCAAACTCTGATTACTGACGTCAATCAAATTCCTTCTAATTATATATTATTTACATTTCATTTCGTTGATTGATATCGTTAAAAACAACATTAATGCACTATAGCATACAAACGAAGAAATGTATTTGAGAAAAATAAATTATTTTAGTAGAAGGAAAGATAAATTCTGAATAACAATAGTAATAATAATTGTAGAATGTTCGACCTTGTCCGATAGCATAACGGTCATTAACAATACCAAGTAGTATCATAAACTTTGATTTTTAATCATTTTAATGTAATCTTGATAATTAATATAAATTGATGAGATAAATTCCAAAAGACAGTAACAGATGAAGAGTATCTAACTATGTATGTTGCTTAAAAAACTCAAATAAGTATAACTGCTTGATATGTGATAAACTAAGGTTGAAAATTCTAGAATTATTATTTATCAAATAAATAATGTTTATTTACACTGCATCAAAATTTATCTTTCTGCCTTCTAATCCAAACGAAGAATTTAATAAACAACAGTATCGGACGTATTTGTTCAGATGAAACTATCTGAAACCGAATTATGTAGACATTTTAGAACGACATTGTCTTTGTGGAAAATGTTATCTTAAGTGATTAAAAAATGGTGCCGTTTGAGATTGTTTCCGGTAAATAATGACAAATTATTTTGATCGCATTTGAGTGTGGGTATGGATAATATAATCACCTAGCATTCTCACTCACACTATACCACATTTACACCCACACCCATCCAATACCACTTTTTCTCCTAGGTCTATGCAAACGCTGAGGAAACGCGTTCGGAACAAGTAGATCGGAGCATGTTCGCGCGTTCGCTCTGTCGTTTCAAACGCGTTCTGGATTGTCAGGATTAGTTATTGTAAACGGTTCACAAAAATATCAAACTAATGTTTTTCTTAAAACCAAGGTTACACATTAACCAGCATATTTTCGATTTTATTTTATAACAAAATGATACAACTAATGTTTGGATAGACAAAAAATGGTAATTGCCGTATTAATACACATAAAAACAATAAATAGCAAAATGAAAGTACACGAAATCTATAACCATAGAAGTTCACAATAAAAGATAAATAAAACAAACTTTATTTCTATATCATAGTCGAATGAAAACAAGATAAAAAATACCAAGTTCACGAAATGACAAAAAAAACAGACTAAACGTACTATATTTTACTAGTATTCATAAAAATATACAAGAAAATATTTTCTCTTTAGAAATGATTTGAGTTCACATAGTGTTATCCGCATACTCTATTGATTCTTCATCAATATTACGATCGCCATCATTATCTAATGTTAACACACCTATTTGTTTTTTATTTTCCAATCTGCAAAAATAAAACTGAGAGGTGAACGTATTAATGCCATTATTAAAGAAAACTTACGATTGCTTTTCTCAATAATTATGACCACGCCATTTATTACTTCTAATAATTTTTTCTTCGTTATCCTAAAAATCAATAATTTTATCATCATCATGATAGAATAAAGCAAAGCAGCGTGAACTGCAGCTAATTCTTTAGCTGCACGTCATGAAAATAATGCTGTAATGTAGGTTGTTTATCTTTGATTTTTTGTTCTGTCCTTTCAATGATTTCTTCATGTTTACAATCAATAATATCTTATTTGGAAAATAATATATTAATCAAATTTTTCATAAGACAAGCTGGAGTTGAAGGCAACGGAGTAGACAATAAATTATGACCATTGTATTTCTAAAATTTACGGATTATTAGAGAATTAGTATAGAATAATTTACAATAATGGGAAGTGCAACAAGTGGTTCATTTGATATTGGACATTAAAACAGAAATGAGAGTTCATGTCATTATTGCACTGACTATGTTTAATATGTAAATGTACTTCTGAATAATGTTATTAAAAAAAAGTTGAAGAAGTCATAATTGGAGAAATAATCGATCATCTCAAGAACTAGAGATGCTGTTAGGCTTATTCATCAATTAAACTAAACATTTATGTAGAATCCATGCATAAAAAACAACTATAATATATTTACTCAAAATATAAGAATCATTAAATATTCTTAAAAAAAAACACAATTTTTTTTAGAAAGATTTCTGTAAAATTCAAGTTATATAGGCGTTCTATTGTAACTATCATTTTTCATCATATAATTTATTAATGTCCTCTATGAGGAAGATAAGAACGTAATAAATACGTTCCAAACGAACGCCCTCTACTAAACGAATTTCGAACACGTTCAGAATACATTCCGAACGCGTTTTAATTCGTTCATACGCTCGGAACGCGGTTTCACTCCATTGGTCTCGACCTGGGCTTCGTTATTTTCATTCTTCATTTTTATTCAAACAAAGTTAGGCTTTCTTCATTCTTTTAAATATACTTCTGAAACTAATCGTTACTCAATAACTTATTTATTGCCTTATTCGATACACCAAACAAAAAAATTAACGGCAACCGTCAAAACTATACATTCACTCCACAACTACGAATTACTCTCCTAAGTCTCAGTTTTAAGGTAAGTTTCTCTTGATTTACTTTTATCATCGGAAAGCAATACAATGATTCATTTCTACGTCTTCTTTTTTCAGAATAATATTAATCAACCACATCCACTACCATATTCTTCGATCAATCATCTGTTTTGCAGATAATATAAGTTAGTAATATTAAATGATATCGATTGAGGTTGAAATATCTAATTTATTAATTTTGTATTTTCTTATGTAGATTCTTTTGCCATTCATTAAGATCTTGAGGGTCTGGGTAGAGAGATATACTGACACCCTTCGACACTCACATCTTCGCCCACCCTCAAGTTCCTGAATTACAAATAACGATAATATTCTCTTGTATTTAGATAAAACTCGCAAATTCTACAGTAACCGGCACACTTAATAAGAAGACATCAATATTTTACTGATGGATTATTTGAATCAAGCAACAAATACACAATATGGCTTTAGTGATATTCGGGCAGTCTTAATAGCTCAGCTGCAAAAATCACGCCAACAATCTCCTGAATTATTTTCGAAGGAAATTTATGTACTACCAGCTATCAATAGTCATGTCGAAGACCAATTGAAACATCAATTACAAGAAGAACGTGAAATTCATACAGACAAACGTATTCTTCTGATTCTTTGCTGTATAGACGATCTTCATTGGGTTGGAGTTTTAATCGAATTTCAAGCAGCTGATCATATTGTACGAGCCGAATATATTGATCCAGTTAGTGGATCTAATGTTATTGATCATTCATTACAAGAACAACTTGCTGAAGTTTATCCATCAGCTGTTTTTCAACTAAAGGATGGACTTAAGCATGCTGATCAAAAATGTAGTTCAGTATTAACTATTAAAAACTTATTAAATGCAGTTGGAAATAATCAACATTCAAGTATTCCGACATCGATAACGTCTAATCCAATATCAGGTAATAACTATGAACTCAGTGAAAAAGAGCAAGAACTAAACGATGGATTCAAAAAGTTCAAAATCCGAGATGTACCTGGGTTGTTACAGAGAATACAGAAAACAGAAGAACGAATCAGAGACTTTGAAAATGAAGAAAGAACAGAAGATGCCGTCAAAGAAAACATTACTTTGAAGGAACTACTGCAATTACAAAATCTGACAAATGACATTGCTCGGATGAAAGGCAAGCCTTCTATATTCATTCATAATAGTCAGTCGAAACTTGAAGAAATGACAGGAGAATTTAATAAGGGGTTAGGAAAATTCAAAATCCGAGATAAAGCTGGGTTATTACAAAGAATACAGAAAACAGAAGAACGAATCAAAGACTTTGAAGATGAAGAAAGAACAGACGATGTCGAGAAAGAAAATATTATTTTGAAAGAGCTTCGACAATTACAGTATCTGATGAATGAAATAAATGAATTGACGCAAAAGT